CAAGGTATGTATATTTATGTTTTCTTCAAATTCTCTAAACTAAAGGCGAAGAACAATGATGTTTTAAGCGAGTTTATTTCAAGGGCTTTTTAGTCATGCAATCGGACCATTCGCGTAATAGACTAAATTTTGATCTAAACAAAAATTTCATCACAGCTTGAAAGAGCATCACCAAATTAGTAATATTCCAAAATTTCGTTGCGAAATGTTGTAAAATGCGGATAATATAGCCCTGCGAAGTTTGCAATTTTCAGTCATTTTAGATTACAAATGGGAAATTGACAGCCCGATACGCTTTGAGGCTGTCAATTTCCCGTTTGTAATCTAAAATGACTGAAAATTACAAATTTCGCAAGGCTATATTATCCGCATTTTACAACATTTCGCAACGAAATTTTGGAATATTACTAATTTTGTGATGCTCTTTCAAGCTGTGATGAAATTTTTGTCTAGACTTGTTGAGATCAAAATTTAGTCTATTACGCAAATGGTCAATTGCCAAACAGTGATTTTTGCATATTTAATGAACCAAAGTTAACTCTTTCTCGTAGCGCGTGAATTTATTTGCCCAAAATAAATAATACATTTCTGAAAAGAGCAGTTTTCCAATAGTGCTTGTGCAAAATCTCATAAGATTTGAAAGGATGGCAAATGGAGAAATCTGTCCCTTTTTACACGCAATGACAAACAATAAAGATCAGTACCCGTCGCTCTTTATTGTGCACAAATGTGTTCAGTTGTTCAATTATCATAAAACCACTTTTAATAAACGAGGGAGTGATGTATCTTTAGCAGAAAGTATAATAAGGCTATTTGGATTTACGGTTTGGATACCAGGATTAAGTAAAAATACGCAATTTCAGCTGAAATATTTTTTTGCCTTTTTTTCATAAACAAAAGAGTATTTTTAAAAACTAACCATATGACGTTTCATACTTTGTCATAGTTAACTTAAATTCAAAAGTAGAGCGAATTTAAAATTTTGAGCCTTGCCGCGGTATGTTTGATTTTTGTAGAGACTCGCTCTTAAATGTTTCCCGTGTTGGAGACAACGCTATTTTGCAAATTCTTCGTCGACTTGTTGAGCTGACAACCTATAGTTTTTTTCAAGGTTAGTGCTTGGTTTTCCTCTCTTTAAAATATCAAATTCGATGAGTGCTTTTGCTTATTTGTGTACCCTGACATAATTTACCCAACGTTGTGCCGTTTCTTTCAGTTTATAATTATACCAATGCACTGTATAGAGCTATATTATTGAATCAAGATTTGAAGTCAAAAGCAGCACAAAAACTTAACCTTGTTTACGTTTTTCTAAACTCTAACTTTGTTTACGTTATAAATCTATTGCCTGTTTTGCAAGAATTAGGGCTTCGCTCGAAACGTTGAAATTCGCTTGTATTTTTCAGGTAGTTACATCCCTAACAACGAAAGCTTGTTATTTAATATTGGCACTACCAACAATGTCACAGACAGTTTAAGATTATACGTTATTCCAATATTGAACTATATACTGATGGCGTTAAAAATTATTAGCCTTCATTAGCTTTTATATGAGAACAGTGTAGCACATGACTATGCCATGTTATTCATAGTAAGTTCCCGCATTTAGGATTAGAAACTATATTCTCCTAAGGGAAGAGAACAGCTGAATTGCCCAGCACATTGTTTTGAAATGAAGGTTGTGGAAGTGGGCATATATAATGCACAGAAATCCAAGCTCTGGTACATTCATTGTTGTTACTTGCTTGTTTTAACCCTTTTGCAGCCAAGAAATGTTATGGACCAAAGGGCAAGACATTTTACTACGCCGGGAAATCCGATAGTGCAAGAACCATACAAGTTCAAGCATGGTTCAAGGAAAGAGGACACTGCTGGGACAACATAGCTGATAATTTAAACAGCTTGAGGGGGGAGGAGGGATAAAATTTTATTCTTGATCAAAGGTCAGTGCAGGATTGGTTCACAAGGTTGGAAAAGGTTCACAAGAGAAAGATGACTGGAGAGGAAAAAGCACCTGGTATCACTCCCGAACTTACATAACTTGACGAGTCTCTGGAAGAAATTGAAGAATGGACACGGGAATAGAATAATTTGAATTAGAGAATGAAAAGAAAGAAAGGAAAGATGGCTGAAAAAGAAAAGAAGGAAACAGCAGAAGAGGTAAGAAAAAGGTCTATGAAAAGACTAGCAGAAACCAAGGCAAGCGAAAATACGAAGAAACCAAACAAACAGAGGCACAGCTCTGTGGAATATTTCCAAATAATGAACTTGATTTAAAGCGGGAAGAAATAGGGTTGAGGAAAAGGCAGATAGCCATTAAAGAAAAGGAAGCAGAAATAGCATTACAAATTAAAGCAAACAAAGAAAAAAGAAAAATAAAGAGAATGAGATGAAGAGATACGTGCAAAAAATGAAAGTAATATGATTGCTATACATTACAACAACAGCTACAAGCCATGGTTATGCAAATTCAGCAACAAAATAAGCTGTTATTGGAATTGTTCAATAACAATAAAGAAATATTTTATTAAAGTTATTATACAAATAGTAATGTGGATATATTGTATCTTTTGCGAAATTCATGCTGATCTGAAGTGTGTATGGGGAGATATCCTAATTTGTCCTCCGCTGTTATTCGTGTGAATTGCATTTGGGACTCTCGTAGTAGAATTGGGTTTTGTATCTCTAAATGGTCTAAACATGGGGAAACAGTACTGGCTATACCCGCTCACAACTCTTTAATAAATGTTACGATATGTATGGATGTCCATCCTAATCCAGGACCTGCTGTTAACGAGGGAAACGAACACAATTTCGGTAAGACCTCTGTAAACGACAGGCATTTTCAAACTACACCTTCGTTTTGCATGGGTGGTTCTGTGATTAACTTTTCTCGCTCACAGCTTATCAATCTTCGTTATGAGTCTAATGTTCCAGTTTCTTCAAGATTATTGGCCTTATTAAACAGTCATATGCTACTTAAATATAGAGGATCTAGAGCTGGAAAAAAAACAGCGAATTCGCCAAATTTGTGTTCAGGCTGGTCATAGAATATCGTACAAAAAGGATTATAATCGGTATGCAGATTTTACTAATCTCACCGATATTCACTGTCTACCATTACCTAAAGTTAACAGTCAAAAACCGGCGGTTGAATCTATGACAATGGCATATGTAAACTGTCGTTCGATAAATAGAAATGGGTTTAAGCTAAAAGATTGTGTTGTTGATAATGACTATGATTTAATAGGTATTACTGTAACGTGGCTGCCAATTGAACCGAATCCTTATCGAATCATATAATCAGAGACTTTTGCCCAAAAGGCTACAAGATGGTTCATATTCCACGGAGTTCGAGCCAAAGAGGTGGCGGTGTAGGTATATTGCACAAAGATACTCTTGACTTGAAAATTACTGAAACTGTGAACACTTTCGCCTCATTTGAATGTATTGAACGGCTTCTCAAATTAGACTCCACGTGGATAAGAGTTGTTATAGTTTACCGACCTCCTGTTTCAAGTGTAAATGCCTTGAGTGTATCCATGTTTTTAAGTGAGTTTTCGGTTTATTTGGAAAATCTAGTGCTGTTACACGTTGAAGTCCTTATCATGGGTGATTTTAACTTTCATACGGATAACTTGACGAACCATAACGCTTGTGAGTTCTCAAATTTATTAGATAAATTTATTATGTCACAACATGTTAGTGAACCTACTCACCAGTCTGGTAACACACTAGTACTTGACCTACTTATAAGGAGACAAGATTCGAACTTAATAAATGGTATATGTGTCCACACACCTTGGATAAGTGATCACAGTATTGTGCAGTTTAAAACCAACACAAAGAAACCGAGTGTTGCTCGGAAAACAATATCTTATCGACGATGGAAATCACTTGATGTAAACCGTTTCGGCAGAGTATAGATGATATTGACATTCAATCTGTCAACTCGCTTTCTGATCTTGCTCTGTTGTACAACTGTGCTTTACGTGATCTTTTAGAAAACATGTTCCCTTAAGAAGTAAAACTGTCACATTACACCCACACGCTGAATGGTTTGATGCCACTAAGTTGCTAAAAGAAAAGAGAGCAAAAAGAAAGTTGTAACGTAAGTTCCAATTATCAAAGTCACCTGAAGATATTCGTCAGTTCAACGAGAACTCAGAGTATTATAGTCACTTGCTAGTTAGAACGAGACAGAAATTTTACACAGATAAGATTGAGGCAAATTATGGTGATCAGAAAGTACTATTCCGAGTGTTAGATAAGCTTTTACACCGTGAGAATCAACGTCAATTTCCACCACATGATAATCTTGATGATCTTACAAATATGTTTGTGGATTTTTTTGTCCGGAAAATTGATACAATTCGCTCTCAATTACATTTGGCTACTGTCGATAATCTGCTAGGATTTGAATCGTCCTGTGAGACCGTTGAAAAGTTGGAATATTTTAGTTCAGTTTCTGAGCATCAGATTGAAAACATTATTCGGTTAACTAACAACAAATCATGTGAACATGATCCAATTCCAACTTGGCTTTTGAAGCAATGTATTCCTGCCTTACTCCCTATTATAACAAAAATTGTTAACCTGTCGTTGCATGATGCATTCATGCCTACCCTGTTCAGACAAGCTTTTTTGACACCAATACTGAAGAATATTTCTCTCAGCAGAGATGAGGAAAACAGTCTCAGACCAATATCTAATCTTTCTTATGTCTCAAAATTAATTGAGAAAGTCGTGGATACCCAATTAACAAATCATATTCAGGAACATAACTTAGATGAAAGCTTACAATTGGCTTATAAGAAACACCATTCTACTGAAACTGCTTGGGTTCGGCTACACAATGATATTTTATCTTAGTTGGATGACAATAAAACTGCACTGTTGGTTAGCCTTGATGTGAGTGCTGCATTTGATACCATTGATCATAGTATTTTGTTGCGTCTGCTTGAAAGTCGATTGGGTGTCTCTGGGCAGTGTATGAATTGGTTTCGTTCCTATCTCATCGACCGTACAACAAGAGTTATTATTGATGGAAAACGTTCAGATATAAAACGTGTAAACTTTGGTGTTCCCCAGGGATCTGTCCTTGGCCAAAACTTTTTACACTATACATATTGCCACTGGGGGATATTGCACGCAAACACAATGTACAGTTTCATATATATGCTGATGATTGCCAACTATACATATCCTTTAAGTATGAAAATAGATTGGAAACCATCGATAGAATGGAATCTCTGATGCATGACATAAAAACTTGGATGACAAAGAACATGGTGAAGCTCAATGATGGTAAAACAATATTCCTGGTTTTGACAGGTCCTCGTCGAGACTGCTCTGATTTTCCTTGCTTGTCAATCGAAAACGAAAGTATTGTTAAATCAGAATCAGTAACTCTCTTAGGAGTAGAACTTGATGACAAGCTTACCTTAAAGAGTCATGTTCGTAATGTTGCGAAAAGTTGTTTTTTCAAGCTCCGCAGTATGCGTAAGATTAGGAAATGTATTACTGAAGATGCAGCAAAAATAATGGTACACAGTATGATTACATCAAGGCTTGACTATTGTAATGCTATTCTATATGGGTTACCAAATTGTGACTTGGACAGGTTATATAGTGTGCAAAAGCTGGCTGCACGATTAATCACAGGAACAAGAAAGTACGACCATATTACACCGGTATTGGAAAGACTCCACTGGTTACCAGTGAAAAAGAGAATAGAGTACAAAATTCTGTTACTTGTGTTTAAATGTCTCCAAGGAACTGCACCAGAGTACTTATCTGAACTGTTAAAAAAGCGTGAAAACAAAGGCACTAGAGCAGATGACAAAAACCTTTTGGTTATCCCTAGGTTTAAGAAGGTTACCCAAGGTGGACGATGTTTTGGAAGATCTGCCCAACACTATGGAACAATTTACCAGACAGCTTGAGACTTGAGACGAGTTTTAGCATTTTAAAAGACGTTTAAAAACGTACTTTTTTAACCTTCTTATAAGTAAATTAGGTCTAGGTCACATTTTTAAACTTTTTAAACTTTTTTATGTCTTTGCCTTCCTGCTTTTCACGAGGTGTTGCATTTAACGAGCTTAGTTTACTGGCAAAACAAAACACTCGACTTGGGATAATTTGGCTGTGAAATTGATTCACAGCCGCTTTATTTAAAATCTCGTCATTTAATTAGAAATATCATAAAATCATTAAAATTGATAATTTGAGTTAATAACTTGAGTCTGTTAATGTTCATTGCCAGTAAAGGTGGCAGGACTACACGCCAATTAGGCAAAAAAGGTATAATAACGATATGTACAAGAAATACAAAGCGGCAGGCCAGCGGGAGGAGGTGGGAAGAAATTCGTATGTCTTCACTCGATCACGAGAAAGGTTGAATTGAGAAGTGAATAACTTTGCTTTCCTTTTAGTAGCTAAAATTTGGCCTTGACTTTATGTTTCTTACGTAGGTAAAAGCACCGGAATTTCCTTCTCCGCCAAGTCCCACCTTAATCTGCCACAATCCAATCTAACTATTTCATACTTTTATCTTATCACTATAATTCAGGCTTGACATAAAAAACCATATTTCCGTAGGAAATATTTTTATTTATGTCTTTGCCTTCCTGCTTTTCACGAGGTGTTGCATTTAACGAGCTCAGTTTACTGGCAAAACAAAACACTCGACTTGGGACAATTTGGCTGTGAAATTGATTCACAGCAGCTTTATTTAAAATCTCGTCATTTAATTAGAAATATCATAAAATCATTAAAATTGATAATTTGAGTTAATAACTTGAGTCTGTTAATGTTCATTGCCAGTAAAGGTGGCAGGACTACACGCCAAAGACTACGCAATTGAAGTCAGTCGAACGTAAATCGCGGAGTCTCCCCCCCCCCCGAGGAAAACGCAACACCACTAGCAAAGAGCATTTAATTATCATAATGTTTTATAGCGAGTCAAAGTACACCGCAGTAACCCCTGTTAACTGTAGTGTAGGCCGATCGAAAGCAGTCGCCTCTGCGAAACCACTATGAGTAGTAGCATGTTGTAAATAGAGCCCTTCAATACTAAACATCTAACAGTCGCCCCTGCTGACTGTTGTTAACACAACCACTAAACATTTAACAGTCGCCCCTGCTAACTGTTGTTCACACACAGAAAGGAATAAAATAGTCAGAAATAACAGTTTAATTTAAGTGTATACTTACTAATGAACATTAATATATCTGGTGATCAAGAAGAGATGTCCGCCCCTGCTAGACAGGCCCTATGGACCACCAAATATACGATGCAACAGACCAAGCGACAACACCCCCGCGACATTGTCGCCCGGTTTGGAAGGATTGTGTTACTCAGATAATGAAGCAGTCGTTGAAAGAGATGAAACTCGAATATACTTTTGAAATGCATTCGTTTTCCACCGACCTAGAAGACGAATCTGTGCATCGGACAAACCATTCTCAGCAGCGAAAGATGCTGCACCGATTCGAAACGAATGTGATTTGTAATGCGACGGACTTAAGTCACAGTATTGGAGGCAAGCAACAAGGTTAGCGGTAAAAACTTTTCTCGGCACCGCGACGCCCTCCACTGTCAAAAACACTGGACCCGGACTACAGCCACGATGATTTAAATATGTTGATAATAATTGTACAGGGCAAGCGCTTGTTTGCCGGTTGATGACCATAGTAAATGGTCGCTGATTGTAGTTATGCTTGTAATCAGCAAATATTAATTTGTAACCAATCGCTTCACCATCTCTTGAGAGTTTGGTGAGCTGGTTTAACTGTATAGGGCAATTGCCCGGCTGTGATGTTGCGGTGATCTCACCCACGCGCAAAAATGCGAAGAATGCTAGAGCACGCATCGCACGAAATTGACACTGGTCGTAGTACGTAGCGACACAGTGTGGCACAGCCATTACTAATCGATTTAAAATCGTTAGCGTAATAGGCAACCTAGCGTCCAAACGAAAACCCTGTTTGCCATAGCCTTTCAACATTTGCACAATGTAAAATATTTTAGTGGGATCCATCAATCCCATTAATTTGTGGGAATAGCCGAGAGCCGTAGGTGTTGACAGTAGAGGGGGCGTAGCGCCGGTCAAACATGTAGGCGATAAAAAGTGCTAATGTAGGAGGCGAAAT